AATGTATTAGTTCTCGGAGGATATTGAATGTGTCCTGTTGCAATAATGGAGGCATCACTGTATATATCCAATCAGAGGCCAGGTAGCGCGCCGTGAACCAATCCATTCACTCATGCTTCAGTAGCACAACTACGCAATAACCCGCCAATGAGAAGTCCGACGCAGCAAACACTCCTGACCAGAGTGGTATAGTGAACGTGGATATGTTGGGAAATAGCCTCGTCGAGATGAATTCTTGATGGATGGACGTCCAATTGCCTTGCGATGACCACTGCGCGCCATGGCACGTATCCCACCCTGCTCCCCTGCAACTCAATTTATCTTTCAAATTCGATGTTTAAAGGTTTTTAAAGCTCATTATTAGTCCTCAAGCCTTTTCAAATTTATATTGGTTTTAATGTTTTCAAGTGGTTCTATTTTGGTCATGGGGCGTTTTATGTCTATATCCTGGTAGATTTACAAATTAGATCAAGGCCGTGTCGTTTGAACAACCCTTTAAATAGCCTTCACGTGACTCTAACGACCCATTGTTCAAGTTGTTTGCATCTGCATCTCGCATGGAATCGGTGCGCCCTTCAGCAACTCCTGAAGTGCCGCCGCCGCCGGCGGCTACTTCTCAGTATCACCCAGGACGGTGTGGCCAGCGCTTTTTTCTCGGTTTAGTGCTATTCATGCACACGAACGCGTGCCTGTACTTGGCCATGTGGATCGTCGTCACTCTTTTCGCCCGAGGAGTCGACGTTGCCGTGGCGAATGCGTACTCGCCCATCACTGTGATGGATTCGTACGTCATGCTTTGTGCGCTCCACATACATGCCGTGATGGCGACTCTCTTCCCAAAAACTGTTCGGGGAAAAGCTAACTTACACGTGTTTTCTGGATGTTGTACGCGTGTCGACAAAATTGACTCGGGGAAACGATGACTTGCGCGTGGGCTGGGATGACATGTGCGTGTGACTGGATGACTTGCACGTGCAACAGGATATCATACGCGTGTATTTCAGCACCAAGAAACCTGACAAGTCAGGAAATTACCACAAGGAGAGCCACCCACGTCACCTTCTACTATAGTAGGCCAGCCCAAGTGCGTGTATCTCAGCAAGAACAGACCGAGGAGTCCCAGTTTTTCGTGTGTGGTCTAGCTAGAGGGTCTCCATGACGCCACCTTAGTGCCGTGCCCGTGCCTCCAGCGGAACCCGCCGAAACGGGTGGTCAGCAGAC